GCGACGTCGCCTAATTCATCTAAATCCCTAGTGTTTTGACTTTTTTTAAACAATGAACACTAAGATTTGGATTCTATTTTGACTTTGTTTTTTGGTATGTTTTACATATTTATTTGTTTGGACTTTGGACTTTGGATTGTTTAAATTGGGTTTAAACTTTAATGGCTACTTCAATACTTAGTGGTTGGTATACAGATTACTCACATCTGAAGGACACTTACTTTTTAGTACTTTTATTGTAAAAAACAAATCTCCATGGGAGATGATTATGATGGGTGATTAATATTTATTATTCAAATATATAATAGTACATATGACACTAGGTTTTTTGGTTTTAATGTTTAAAACCCATTAAAGGCCCAAACCGCCTAAACCGGTCAGACCAGACCGCCTTTTTGTGGTCTGGTTTGACCGGTCTGGGCACTTGGTTTCAAACCGCTCGGTCTGAAAATTTCACAAACCGCCATTACGGTTTGRTTTGTGGTCTGAGGGCTTAAACCGCCCAAACCGGACCGCGAACACCCCTACTAGTTGAGGTCGCAATTTCGCCATGCGAACACGGCTAGTCGACCCATGCCGTTTGATTCCTTTATCTATATCTATATCTATACTATATTATAAAACATTTGATAAAAACTCTTAAAAACCAATTTTTATGCATAAAATACTGTTTAATAAGACATATTACTTAAAACTCAAGATTGCAAGTAGATTGTATGTAGGGGTGAGCAGCGGAAACGGGTACCCCGGCTATGGAACCGGAACCGCCTTGGAACCGCCGGTACCGGAACCGATATGAGTGGTTCCGGTTCCTAAAATACGGAACCGATTGAGAATGGTTCCGGTTCCGGTTCTCAATTTTTCGGAACCGTTACCCGCCGAGTACCCGGTATTTTTAAATAAAAAAATTATTATTATTTTTTAATACCAAATTTATATTAGGTTTAAATCTTGAAAGCAAGCCGTCATCTTCATTTTTTATCTAAATTCTTCATATAGAATGATTCGTATTTTTTTAAATTGTGTGTTCACTTGGATTCATAGTATGTAATCGTTAAACTTTGAAAATTTACCATTATAGTATGTAATCGTTAAACTTTGAAAATTTACCATTATAGTATGTAATCGTTAAACTTTGAACATTTTCTATTAATCTATTATGGTTTATAATCGTTAAACAATATTTGTAACCATTATTATATATAATTTGTATTCTTGCTTATTTATTTAGTGTTTTGGCAACGTTTTATTTTTTATTTCAAAATAACAAAATTTTAATATTTTAGGAAGCGGGTACCCGGAACCGGAACCGGAACCGGTTCCCGGCGGTTCCGGTTCCGGTTCAAAAAATTTAAGAACCGTTCTAACCGGTTCCGGTTCCAATATCTCAAGAACCGCCGGTTCCGGTTCCGGTTCCGGTCAAAAAGGGCGGATACTCGCCTATGCTCACCCCTAATTATATGTAAGTACAACTTATTAAAGCTCTATTTTTAAATTCGTGTAACTAACTGCAAATAAACATAATCAAATACATGATAAACATTCATTTTAAATATAAAAAATCTAAATTATAATTAAGATAATTTTTGAGTTCTTACAGAAATTTTAATTATTATCTTTATAAAAAATTATATTAAATAAAAAATAAATTACTTTGTTATTACATCAAAAAAACGAGAATTATTAAATAGTTAATTTGATATTAATATCGATTTATTTTTTTCAAATTTTTATGTTATCTTCAAATTTATATTTCATTCAAAAATAAAAACATTATCGTTTTTTCAAAACCACATAAAATCGTATTATATCGATAGAGAAGAATAAAAACTAAACATTAAAATGAAGATTTATCTCATTTCAATATGCGAGTACCCTTCTAGTATAAGAATTATCTATCGTATTTTACAATTTACACAAACTCTTATTTACAAGGAAAGGTGTTAAATAAATGTATTTCCATCATTTTTTTTGGGCTAGTACTTAAATTACGTTTGGGCCAAAATTAGCTTTTAGCCCATATTCCAAGCAAGCTGCCGTAACGTAACGGCATCAAACTCCAGGACCAGATGGAGGTAACGGCTCCGTTTAAGAATCCTGGTTCTCGATTACTTAAAAGAGGGTCCCACCTGCGTATGTAACCGATTTTCAGGAAAGCCGCCGACTTAGACGGACGGAGACGGTTGTCCTGCCGCATTTTTTTTTACTTTCACAATCAGATTGAAAAGCGTTGGATGGTGGCGCGTTCACAACACTCTCTGGATTTCCTCTTTATGCATCCCAGGCTTTGCCGGTTATAGTTTTCAAGGTATTTTCTTCGACTTTTAATTAATCGTAAGGTAATTAGTTTCTGAATTTGTATGGATACACGCGGTAATCGAGTTTAAAAGTCGAAAGTATGAGGTTGAAGGTTAGGTGTACTTGCTCCGCTTGGATTAAATTGAGTGATTTCGATTGAACCTTAGGCTTAATTCGGGATAGGGTTTGATGGTTTTCTTATAACTATCTGGAAAAAATCGATTTTAATGCTTATCTCTAAAACATTACGTAATGTTTATTTCGTGGCAGTGCCTTTTCATGATTCATTTTGTGTGATTGGTTAGAGGATGTATGTTAGAGGCCAGTGATCCTTTTGCAAATTAGGAATTATGTATTGTAATTTGTAGATAATCTAGCTTTCTGGAAAGATTGCCAAGCTTGATCATAGGCAACATGAAAGATTTGGTGTTATTTGATCATGAAATTATCTGTGATAAATAAAGCCAAATATTTTTCTCCATTTAGCTCTATTGACTGTTCACCCTTTGGTTTAGTTGAAGAAGCAGTCAGCGTTTAGCGGTTCATTTAGCCGTTTTGTCAAATCTTTACATGAAGATGACTTTTCATGAACAAGATCCTGATGTTGTTAGATGGGGTCTTCATCATCTTATGGATATTTGTTCCGTATCTAATGCTGGATCGCCTGGTGCTTTTACTCACTATGACAAAGATTTCTCTCGTGTTGAGTATGTGAGCGAAGGTTATTGTGTGTCAAATCATGCCAATATTGAGAATGATGAGATGATTGCACGTGCTTTTCAAGAAGAACTGTCACGGCTTACGTTGGAGGAGAATCATGGATCACCTGAAGAGGATCATCAAAAAGAATCTGTACTTGCTCAGGATTGGCTTGCCCCTTCAAAAAGACATGGTAATTATAGTACCTGGTAAAATCACAAGTCCGTAGACTTTCTTTCTCTTTTGGTATATATTCTGATAGATCTGTTATAAACTGCAGAGCTTGATAGCATTCATGAACAAGATTTGGAAAACGTAAACAGGACATGCAACTTATCGTTGAACATTGAAGAAAGATCAGGTGATGATGACAATCAATCATGTTCCCCTGAGATGGCAGATGAGTCTACGCTTGATGGTGAAGTAGGAAAGAGGATAAATCAAATGGTTCCCATCCGTGTAAGTTTTGTCTTTGCTTCTGACTCTTCAAAGTTTAATTAAGAGTGCAATCTGTAAGTGCCGACTGAAAATGGTTACCAAGTATCTTGTAGTAAGTGTTTATTGATGAAAACGATTTCCATAAGCATCGTCTGACTCGGTTAGTGACATATTTGTGGCCGACTCTGTTGGAACCTCGGATAATCAGAAATAAAGGGAAACAACATCATCTCTTACCCGGTAAGAGATAATCAGCACTAAGTCAATAGCCCCTTAGTGCATGTATCATCTGTTATGGCTCTAGACGTATCACGTGTCTTTTGCTTGTTTTTTTAGATTTTTGGTTGCTTTCCCCGGATAAATATACTTACCTGGTGATGATATCATCCCAAGTTTATTTTCATAGCTCTATATCATTTTAGCCATTATGTAGCTTATAACTTTTAGGGCACGCAAATTAATTATATATTCTTTTCGTGTCTTATACTTAATGTGACAATACAAACACACACATAGGCATACTCTATGTAGCCTGATTCTGTAAAACATCAGACCTATCTTTTCAATGTATTAGCTTCGATTTATTCTTTGTGGGATCTTTGTTTATGCATGGTGTATTGCAGCATGTCCCTAAGGTAAATGGAGAAGTGCCCTCTGCCGATGAAGCAACATCTGATCATCAGAGGCTGATGGACAGGTCCATTTTTCTTGTACTCTCATAGTTTCATGCGGTTTTTAGTTGTTTGTAGGTGATTTTGATGACTTCAATATTCCATTTGTTATCCTTCATGCAATGTGCTTTCCAAATAAAGAGTTTGATCTTACCAGATTGCAGCTTTATGATCTAGTTGAACTAAAAGTTTCAGGAGATGGTAACTGCCAGGTTTGTACCTCACACAATTCTTCCTACCAATATTCTATCACTTTGTAGTGTGCAGTACTATGTAAAAATAAACCTTAAACTCTAAACTCAGATTGTCATGTCTTATAGAAATTCATGGTAGTTGAGAGAATCTTCTTTTTCTTCTGGTTTTTCTAGAAACAAGATTTCGATAAAACTCACTAGGCATCGGACTTTGTAACGAGCCTTGTGTCAGTGAACTATTCTCTTATTATTCTTTCCCATTTTTTGTTTAGTTCCGCTCCTTGTCAGATCAAATTTACCGCTCGAGTGAGCACCACAAACTTGTGAGAGAGCAAGTTGTTCATCAGGTAGGTTGAGTAAGTGAAATTATTATATTGGTGGCCTGTCAACTCTTGCAGTATCATGATATTGATGGTTCCGGTTGTTTTTTTTCATCAGCTCAAGTTTTATCCAGAATTGTATGCGGCTTATGTTCCCATGGCTTATGATGAGTACTTGAAGAAAATCAGCACGTATGTTACAAATTCACTTCGACTTTTACTCCGTGCTGTATTCCCTCTTCATTTCTAATGTCTAAGCTTCTACCTAGGGGTAGAGGAAATGTCTGTGTATATTTACCATTCCTAGACCCTACTCTTTGTGGGATATGTTGGGTTTGTTTGGTTTGTATTTCCAATGTCTAAAGCATAACCATTACAGGAGTGGCGAATGGGGAGATCATGTCACGTTGCAGGCTGCTGCTGATGCGGTATAGACGATCTTCTTCTATATAGCACTTGTTGGGGAATTTGCATTTTGTGGTTTGTGATAACTTGGATAATCTCTTGGATCGTGAATTGGAAATCACTTTCCAATACTTTATTTCACCCTTATATTTGCCTTAGGTTAACAGGAAATTAGTACTGGGATAAATCCAGAAAATTCACACATTTTAAGGCACAAAAATGTGTTTATATATTCACCAGATCAACCGTTTATGTATTTATAAGAGAGATTGACGGTTGCAGGCAAATTACATGTTACTGCACATTAAGTTTCCAGTATTTTTGCTTCTCAAGTTTCCAAGAGATTCTTTTTTTTTTCTATCGTCATATCCATAATCTAGTCTCTTATATAGTCTCCTGACACACTATTAACTTCCATCGTTAATTACTGCAGTTTGGAGTCAAGATATTCGTCTTAACTTCATATAAAGATACTTGTTACATTGAGATTCTACCATGTGCTCAAAAGTCAAAGAGAAGTAAGTTTGTGGAATTCTTCTTAATTTAATTTCAGCAGCATTCAAAAAGGAAATATCATCTGCTAGAATAAAACATGCATTTGCAGATTCATACTCGAATGTCATGAGTTTTGATACAACATTGTAATCTGTCTGATGATGATGATGATGATGATGATGGTTCTTTAATTATTCGTCATGCATTCATTATGTTAAGTTTGGCAATTTTGCTAAATGCGATATGGGCTGAATTGTCTGCAGTCATCTTCTTGAGTTTTTGGGCTGAGGTGCACTATAATTCAATTTATCCTGAAGGAGGTAAGTTACAGATCTACTTTGATAATGCTACCTATTCACTTGCTACATCCCCCCTCCCCCCAAAAAAATAATAAAAATAAAAAGACCCCGCCTCCAGGTGAGATATATTGGGCTTCCGGGGTAGACAAATTTGCTTACAAAATGGATTCCGTAAATTGTTTTTTTAAACAGATCTGCCGACCATGGAGCAGAGAAAGAAGAAAAAGTGGTGGATGCTTGGGAGTTGAATGGCTGTAACAGGTGAACTGGTTGTCTTCTTGTACAGAGACTATATAAGAGCTTTAGGATGCTGTATAGATTTCAAATTTGCTTTCATTTGTTCCCATTGTTTCAATTATGTTTATATCCTTTCTAACTTATGAGCTAGCAATGAGTACTAGTAAGTTTTGCAGAAAACGTAGGAATATCTGAAATGTTGCATGTTAATGCTTCCCCTTCTGGCTCTATAATAGACCTCAGTTTTTCTCATGTAATTTCACGTGGTAGTTGACCTGGTAAACCTTGATCACTGTTTAGATCATCCCCTTTGATGGATGCATGGATTGGAGGATGTCTTATAAACGAGAGGTAGGAGCGTATACCTTCTCAGACGTTTCTTGCCATCTTGGTTTCTGTACAAAATCCGTAAGACTAGATACAAGTTCCAATTGTAAACCATAGCTGCAAGTTTTGAATCATACGTTTTAGAGAACTAGTGATCAAGAATCCGTAGAGCTTCTAGAGGCTTCTGGAGCCAATCTTTCGTACAGACGCCAGACCTGTTGGCTGTCTGCATTTGGATTCCTTTGATGAAGATGATGTTGTATGGCGTTCATGCGGTGGTGGTTCTTAATAATCTGCATGATAAATAAACTTGATTAGAGAGTATTTAACCATGGACAAGGTTTGATTGACTTTGCAGTAACAAGTAGCTGACGTAGAGCTCCATCTTCAACCCGAAACAAGACAAAGAACCCTCCTCGATCAATTATCTAGAATACAAGCATGAAGCTGTGGTGATTCTCCGACCCAATGAAGAAAGTTGAGTTTTCATGCAGCCAGTATGATAGCAAAAGCAATCTAGACGTCGACATTACACGAGATAAGGTGTTAACTCTAGTATCTAAAATGGTAATCGAATGAAACACTCAGAGTTGAAACAACACATATGCTTCCTAGTTCCTAATATTGGTTTGTTCCTGTGGTTTTGGGCATTTTAGACAATTTTAAGTTTCATGTAAAAATGGAAAAGTATTTGTTTCGGTCTGTGCCAGTGACTGAAACATATGGCAAATATAGACTTGAATGTATTGTGCGCTTGGACGAGAGGTAAAAAAGGTCCTTAATAGGTACGAATAGACCTTCAATATATTGTTTTTATATTAAATATAACAGTGAATTCAAGAAATAATGATATTTTATAGTCATATGAGTATCTCTAGATGTAAAATCAATTAAAAGTTATGTCTAAATTAATATTATCTACCAATTTGTTACACCATCAAAAACATAATATAGTATGTATATCATTAACATATAGATTTACGTTATTTGAAGTCACCATTTTCGACCATTCACGTAACTATGTAAATCAATATAAATTAGTTGATGTTAATATTCTCATCATCATTTTTAAACTTTTAGGGTTAGAACATTTTTTTCCAAATCCATCAATCTCATAATCAAAAAGCTCATGTTGGTTATACTTAAGATCTTATTCTCGTTTATAGATAAAAAAGTACTTAAGTTCATACACTAAATATTAGGTAATAAGGGTCAATAATATATTATAAAATAAACGTGATTTTGAAGCCTATATATATATATATATGGGTGGGTTCAAATAAAAATCACTCAATTTGTAAAAATCGTGAAAACCTCATTCAACCAATCATAATTTTTCATCTTTTTCATTTTTTTGTAATTATGAGAGGTTGATTAACCATTTTTATTGTGGAGGGTGTTAATCATGGATATTATCTTCATTATTTTAATTTTAGAGAAATACATGAAACAGTTTCATTAAAATTTCATTAAGTAGTA